GTAAATTGTCGCCATTTTATATTTTCAATCTCGCACGTGCGTGTTGTTAAAAATCAAAAAAAGACGACGCTGGCATTTGATCGTTGCGCAACGTTTTATTTTCCACGCAGATCCCCGCTACACCACCCGCACTTTTGATGAACTTCTGTATCAATTTTTACTTATATATTTCGTTCTCGGTATGACGATGAACTACATCTGGCAAGCAGGGTCTCAGATCGAGATTGGAACCACCTCTTTACTGCTGGTGTCCCCAGGTCCACGCTGACACGGGTATGGTAGTCCCTCTCAGTTTCCCAGCTATGCGCAAATCGTGCACCCCCACAAAAAAAATCAACAGTTACACACATACATACATACACACACACACGCATATATATATATATATTTATATAATTATAAAATGAGTAACAATAATTTTCATAGGAAAATGACAATCAATGCAATATACATTTTATAGTAAAATTACCAGTAATATATTTTATGATCTAAAAACTATATATCTAAAAGGGCACTTTTCGCTGAAAATAGAAAACTACGTACGAAGTATTTAGATTTTTGCATTCAATAACCCATAGATGTATCGATATGCCGCTAAACAAAATCAACGAACCAATCTACATAGTTATTATCAATGTGGGCCTGATTTAGAGAATAGCTGCTTTTTACCCGGTGAGTATATACTTCAGGACACAGTCGTAACTTTTTGTTAAACTTCCTCATTCAGCTTTACTCTACAAGACACACAAGTGAGACATCTTCGGTGCATATAATTGTCTACAGGAGTAATGTTTAGTTAGATTAACTTAAGCATCACGATGTCGCAGAAAGACGTCGAAAGGTTACAGTGTTTGAAGATAATTACGTATTTCAGCGCTGTAAATTATGAGTCGAACAACTAAGGCAACAATTATAGAAAGGTTCATTGGTAGAAATTCCATTTAGAATTATTAGGTTGGTGCAAAAATAATGACGTAATAATGTCGTTTTTGACGTTAAAAAATACGTCAAAAAACGACATTATTACGTCATTATTTTTTCACCAACCTAATAGTTTATCATTTTATTCGACTCGACTTTGTGATGACTACAGTGAATTTCAAAGTCTAATTTTGTTTGTCTTTCCGGTCTTTTTAGCTCTTAATAAATCTCTTAATAAGTCTTTTTTTTTTGTTATTTCTCCTAAGCCCTGTTCATCCTTTTACTCAAGTTCATCAGGACGTTATGCGTTGAGTTTTCTTTGTTAATTTATCAACCTCTTTCCGAATTTAATTCAAAACGTAATATACCACTCATCTTGAAAAGTAAAAAAAAAAAAAAAAAGAGATGCGTCTACTTTTTTTTGCATGAGTTCACGGTTGGAAGTTATCTAAATCGTCACAAAATATTGATAAAATCCGAGATGAAAAATCGATATTACATACAGAGTTATGCTTTCACACATTTAATAGATTTGTTTTACAAATATCTTGTTAGATATGTAAAACTTCACAAAATAATCTGAGAATAAAAAATCGATATTACATAAACATTTATAGTTTAACACATTATTTTACAAATACCTTGGTAGATCTCTAAAACTTCACAAATATACCCATAAAATCTGAGAATAAAAATCGATATTACATAAAAATTTCTGGTTTAACACATTTAATAGACTTATTTTACAAATTCTTCTTCTTTTATGTGTCGTGTTATTTTGCGACGTTGGGGAACATCAACCGCCAAAAATTCTAATTCCTCGTAGCTTTTGGCATTGTTCGTCTCTTAGCTATCCCCTCCATGGTTTCTCGTTCATTTACACTAGCTTGTTAGGTAGGTTACTCGTTGTCACCAACTGTACCTCTTGCGTTAGAGATGTCCTGTGAATGTCAGATTTTCCATGTCATCTTTCCTCATTATCTGTTCAAGAAATATCAACCCTCTCTTTCTGATTTTAAGTATAATCAACCTATTTTTGTGTCAGTTTTTCAGTATCTTTTAGTAAAATCAAAATTCTTTTTATCTAAAGTCTTTACTTCATCTGTGTGTAATCCATGTGGCATTATCTACCATATAGAAGGATAAATATTACGTAACACTTAAACACTCTTAGCTTGGTTTCCAATGAATGATGATCTTGGCTTTCTATAGTTCCATCTTTTGGTTCGCTGGAACAAACAAATACAAGAGAAAGTTAGCAGAGAGTACTTTTATCATGTTTTGCAATAACTCTAAAATCGCCATCCAACATGGCGGATCGGGGAATATGGATTAGGCGTTTTGCTCAGCTGAGTGATTCGTGTCGCAGTTGACATGTTGTGTACTGCACTGTGACAGTTTAAATCAGTCACCGTCTACATTGGTCGCCATCTTAATGTGTCTGGTCTGTAACTGTCACCTTCCAATCGCTATCGTTTGAAAGATTCGTGTTACAACTACAAACTATCAACGTTAATTAGGCCGATTATAGTTTTTTTAAAAAAGGGAAGGAAAGATAACCAGAATAATAACAATAAAG